TGAAATATCATCAGTTATTGACAAGTTATTGGAGAAGAGGGAGGGAGTGCCCTAAATTTTGAAAACATCTGAGCATGTAATATGACATAAAAATGAAAATTAAGCTTGATGGAAACTGCCTAGGATTATATATTGCACAGGAGACGAGCAGAAGAAATATTTTCAAATTAAGTTTTTCGAGAATTTGAGATGACAGGCTTTGGCATTTCTTTTAAGTTATGCTATTTGAAAACTATGATGGCATTTGGTTGAGTTTTGTGGCAACAATTTTACTTCATATGTAACTTTAATGTAGGAATTATAAAAAGAGAAAAAAAATAACAGGAAAGAAAGTTTATGGTGGCCCACAATATGTCTAGGTAACCAGCTTAGTGTAAATTTTAGATTCAGTGCAGGAGCAGCAAATTCTTTAATCTCACAGTGGGGATATCTGGATGTTTTTGTAGATGTCTTCAATAGGGTTCGTAGGAGTTTTGAGCCCTCAACAGGGGTTATGCAATTGACCTGAAACTAAGGGTGGCTCCTAAATCTGGAAGATGAGGCGCTTTCACGAAGAATTTGATAACCATGATAGATCTGTGGTTGTTCTTGTTTTTTATATTAAAAACTAAAGAAATGATCTATATTTTCTATCAAAAAGTACTTTGTTTTATTGGAGTATTACAGATTATTATTGATCGTGGATTATAATGGAACAAAAGTGTTTGACCTCCAAGTAAAATACATTTTTCGGTTTTTAGTTATTTTAAGAAACTAGCCAGTTGATTGGTTTTGGGAAATTAAGTTGCAAATGTTTTAGCTTTAATGAAAAGAAAATACAGTTGTCTACCAATACATTATCTTGATGATAGGCAACGGTAAAATAAAATGAAAAGTAAATGTTTTTAATTCATCCGCTGAATTATTTTCCTAATTATCTAGACAGGGAGAAATACAAGTTAGCCGAGTTAAGCACAGGCAAAGATAGAAAAAGATCTCACTCTATTACAGGTGACCTTGCTGTTGACCTTGCTTCTGTCACTGATCTGCATAGCAGGAATGATACAGATGTTAAATTATTAAAAGAGAACAATAAAATAAATGATGATTAAAATGAATAATGATAATAATAATACAGGAAAAAGAATTTTTGGGGATATAAAATGTACCATTCAGCTTTACCGATATTATTATTATTATTATTATTTATTAATTAATAATAATGATAATAATAATAATTTATTACAATAAAAACAACAACAACAACAATTATAATAACAGCTATAAGATATGGAGGGTTGATAGTAAGAACCCCACCATCCTGGTCATTGCCCCCCTGCATGTGTGAGACTAGACAGGTTAAGTAAGACCACCTGCCACAAGGTGCTCATAGTGTGGATGGTATTGGATAACAAAATGCCAGGGGGCGGTTGTTCAAACAAACAGCTAATGCGTCCCTCATGAAGGGCTGTGCCTCACGCATGGTTAACCAGAAGTTATTCTGGCTCGATTTTTTTGTGTGTGTGTTTGAGGAGGGTTTGGGAAGAGGGAGGGGGGGGGGGG